GGGGGGGAGGGTGGCAGAAGGTGGCCTAGGTAACATTCTCTGGATACCCTAGGCATTCTTTTTTTTTTTATTCTCCTTCCCCACCCAGGGGTCAGATGGCACAATCTGGGGACTGAGGAGCTCACCCTGAGGGCCGCGACGACTTGCCCCGGGCAGGGGGCTGAGGGCAGCCCGCCCTTTCCTTTTTCTCTTGTTGTGTACAATCGAATCTGATCCAACTGGCCCAGGAGGAGATTGCCCCTCCTTCTCCAGTGGAGCATCTGGTGGAGTCAAACTGCACATTCACTTCTAAACAAAAAGTTGGAGGTTCAGGATCATCCAGAGTACCTCAGAATTAAGTCTGGGTGACATGTTTCTGGAAGATCACAGCAATTGAAATCCCACGGAGCACAGCCCTACCCGACACAGATGGAGTTGCCATGAGTTGGGCTGATAATGAAAAAGACATCTGTCTTGCTCCTGTGAAGATTCTTGCTAGGTGCCATCACATCATGTCTGACTCAGAGCAACTCTGTGTACAACAAACATTGCTCGGTCATGCACTGTCATGACAATTAGTGCTTCCTCTAGCCCACTGCTGCAGCTGCTGCATCAAATCTATCTCATTGAGGTGTGTCCTCTTTTTTTATTTTATTATTTTGTGTGTGGGGGTGTGTGTGTGTACCATCAAATCAGATCTGTCTGGTACAGGAGGAGATTGCCCCTCCTTCTCCAGCAGAGCACCTGGTGGATTCAAACGGTGTGCGTATCTCAGGGATTGCAGTGCAGCTTCTTGCCACTAGACCACCAGACCTCCCTCTAGGTTGTTGTGGTGTTGTTATGTGTCGTCGAGTCGTTTGCGACTCATAGTGACCCCAGGTACAACAGCCCTAAACCCTGCTCTATCCTGTGCCAATCGCATTGCCTCTGACACGATTACTCCAGTCACTGAATCAATCCACGTCATAGAGGGTCTCCCCCTCCCGTGCCGTCCCTCTACTCTACCCAGCATGATGTCCCTCTCCAAAGACCTCTCTCTCCTTACAACATGTCCAAAGTATGTCAGACGAAGCCCCAGAATCCTTGCCTCCAAGGAGTAACCAGTGAACACCACTATCATTCAGATATAT